CAGTAAGAAACCTAATAAGTTGTATTATGCTTGCTTGATGAGGCTTTACCTTGACATCGTTTGATCACAGTCAAAGGAACACTACTGTTTTATTTTTTTTTATTGAAACCTGTGGATCATTGTAATAAAGATTATAAATACATATTGAATTTATACATAAATAAAATATAAACTGAAATAATGAAATATGGAGATAACGAACAGTATTCAAGCTCATAGTCCATTTAAACAATATAAATCAGAAGCAGAGCAAACATGGACCTCCAAAAACATCACAGGCGGGATCAGGTGCCATGGAGGATTAAGCATCCCCTGTCGACACGTCACACACGCAGTAATGTTAAGGCTTTCCGAAGCTTTAAATGCGTTCAAAACATAACACTGCATTGCAAGGTCGATTTTTATTTTTATTTGTAAGTTATGTACTCAAGTACGGCCAATTTACATCGAGAATTCTCTAGGCTATATATAAACGTATTTGTTACGATATCATATGACCTCGTTGATCACGTGACGGTAATTTCTACTTTTTTGAAGTGTTTCACATAAATCGCTTCGGCGCAGCTGATTAACACAATTATTATTACCTTTTTGTCACATAAATAAACTCGTCGCATCCTTGTGAACCCGAAATGTGCTTGGGAAAAGCTATACTATTACTCTGGTACAAAATATTTCACAATAAATTCAACTTACCGACAAATTTGAGGGTATTTTCCACTCAATATCGTCAACTGTATTAAAACAAAGCCATCACACATTTTTTCCCAAGCAAGATTCAGTTAGAGGGGAAACTCCTCCTACAGATTTCTACGAAAGATCTCAAATAAATCCTCATTAATCACCTGCGCCAGGCTCTTTTATACCCGTGGATAGAAGTAAATTTATAAATTCTACTTCTATCCACGGGTATAAAAAAGGGTGTCAAACGTATATTTTCGTATATATTTTGATCACGCTGACTTCTAAACAAAAGTAATAAAGCAAAGTTATTTAAAATATTCGGATATATAGGATATAAAAAATATTAAAACACGTTTATTTCACACTACCTTTTTAACACTTTATATGCAGATTGAAATCAGGTGTAAAATTTATGACACTCTCCCTATCATAACAACTCAAGTTTGCAGTGACTTGACGTCATTTTCAATTATGACGTCATACATTTGCAGTTTAGAGAAGTGAAGACACCGAGTACACTGCCATATTCTCTGGGAAGCCTTAACGTACCTGTGCACGCTGTGTGCCCCTTGTTATGATCGGATAAACGGTGTGTAAATAATGGACTAACAACTAGTATGAAATAACTTTTACATTCCGAGAAACTCAATAAATCCATCAAAGATTAAATCATAGCAAAACGTTTTCTAAATTTGTTTAGGAATAGTTTACAATATTAACGCTAAGGAGCTTCTATGGAAATTTTCATACGTAATAAAAGCTTTAACTAGACTCTGGCACTATTCGTTTTGTTCAAAGCCAAAAATCATTATCAGGTATGTAACAGGGACTACTTTTTCATTTTTTTTTTTCTGTTGCCTTTCTAAACCCTAATGCTAATTCAAGGTTTCCCAGACTTTTAGATTTATCTTGCACAGGCAATATGAGAAAATAAAATTCTATTCCAATTTATACATGAAAGAAAACACAGCAACACATATACATTGTATATACAGTATAAAAGATGTTTTGCAATAAACACATAAGCAACAGGAAAACAAATACTACTCACAGGATTCTTAAATTATAATACTAACTAGAACTGTCCAAAAGGGACAAATACCCCCGCTGGGTTTTTCAGAGAAGGTACCAAATCACTAATGTTTTCTAGATGTGAGAGGTGTTCACAATTTGCTTAAATATTTAGAGTGAAAATTTAATTACTCATTATATTTTTTTAAATGAATGAAACTAAGGAGCAGCCTAATAAAACATCAATACTAGTAATTACAGTGTTTTTTATTACATTGAGAAAAAAATAGTTTGCAACTATCTGTCATCTTTGTGAGACATGACACTCCGCAAATTGATTGTTGAAAAAAAATATCATAATTAATCATACAAAATCAAATTGATCTTAATACCTTTATATCAAACTCATTTTAAAAATAAAAGGCTGGTTCCAGTAACTATGTATTTTGACAGACATAAATTACAATTAAGAGACTTAGACAACAGGGATCTTTATTTCTTTCTGCCCAATTCCCAAAAGATATAGATAAGACCTGCTTGATCAGAGATGCCCTAACAGCTTCCCACACTGAACTCATTAATTAATCTTTAACTGGATGCATGTTCACTCATTACTGCCAGGGGACAAATGGATAATTTACACTATCTGCTGTGTAATGTAAAAACTGTTTTAAATACTTTGTGATTTTTTTTTTAGTTCTAATGAGTAGTTTTAAGCTGTAGTTCACATTTTTGTACAGATGTTATAGATTCTATGTCTCAAACCTTAGACATGAACTCGAAATGACTAAGTCAATAAAAATGAAAAAAACACCTGTAAAATGCAGAAAAATTATCAAATAATGTTGAAAATACCAGGTGCACATCTTCATATGGTAAATAATAAGTGTACAAATTTTCATACAAATCTATGCAATAGTCTCTGGGAACAGATTCGGACAAAACCACATAATAAAAATGAAAAAAAAAAACACCTGTAAAATGCAAAAAAAAAAATTATCCAATCATGATGAAAATACCAGGTGCACACCTTCATATGGCAAAGAATAAGTGTACAAATTTTCAGACAAATCCTTGCAACAGTTTTCAAGAAATGGTCCGGACATAATCTCGTCTACAGACAGACGGACAGACAGACAGACGGACAGACAGACGGACAAGCTGATTCCAATATACCCCCCCCCCTAAACTTCGTTTGCGGGGGGTATAAAAATTTCATGTAAATTTATTGAATCTGATTCGTCGAGAAACATTTGATAAAAAGATATTTATACCATCTGAATTATGATACATGTACCACTCCTCCAGAATGATAGAACGTAACACCGTCAACATTACTTGACCACGGATGACATTCAGATTACATTGACTGTGCTTAATCTATGTGCGTTCGGTTTACCGTTATGTGTACTTGTATAAAAGATCCAGTCATATTTAACAATTTTTGCATGTAAGATGCTGAAGTTCTCATTGACAATTTGTAGTCTTTGGAGATGTGGTTTTAAAACAATCTGTTGGAATTCCGATGGGTACTATTTGTGCTTTTCTTCCCTATTCCTTTGAAGCAGAATTTATTTAAAAACTTCTTCGTGAAAGGGAAAAAATCTTGCTATGCCTTCACCTCAACATTTAGATATAGGTATCGACGATAATTTATCAATTAACAATAGTTACTTTCATTCATATGTCGACTCGATATATCTCCCAGTGAACTCGAAATAAAAGACACCATAGAGTCTGCCACAATGCTCCATATTTATTTGTTATACTGGCTATAGACCATAATGGCCAACTAAAAACTAACCATACAACAAACGGAATGAATGCAGCTATTCCATTGCCAATTTCCCTTATTTATGAAGCAATACCCAAAATCACCTGCAAGTGCTGTTTATGTCTCCAAACTGATTGAATACGCAAGAGTATTCTCTGAATACGCCTGCAAGCTACTGACAAATATGTTAATGTTACAAGAATTTTAACAACCCCGTTCTAAGTCGACCTTTCGATTTTACGGTCGTTACTATGACCTTGTTTCTAAATACAGCCTATCGTTGGGTCGTATTTTGTCTGACGTGTTTCATACCAATTGTTAAGCCTTTGTTTTTATACTTAATTTGACTACAGAATGTGCCATCTACTTGATCAATATATTGGGTTCACGGCTGGAGTGACCGGATAACAGAGACTGTTCTATACTCAGCACATAATCCCACCTCTGGAGTTTCCAGGGGACGCTGTTTTCCCCTATTCGATTTGCGTTTCTGTGTCTTTGTGCATCTGACTTTCATTTATTTATTTATTTATTTTTTGGGAGAGGGAGGGGGCGGTAAGGGTTTATTTAGATTGTAAGGGTTTATTTAGATTAACTAAATGTTGATTATGGACAAAACATACTTTTGAAAAAAAAAATAGCATTGTATTAAGCTCATATAAAAGGACTACGAACGATAATATTGTTCTCCCGCCTATATCCAAGTCAGTTTACAAAAGTTAACATATTTGAATGATTTTTCATAGTTTTATAGATATTTATATGAATTTTCATAAAACATAAACTATTTTGGAAACAAAGAGAGATAACTCTATAATTTTTGTAAAACTTGTGTTTTTCACTGTAAAAATCAACGGAAAAAGGAAAATATTTTTAAAACATCCCCCACCCCCGTGAAACAAAAAAATCCATTTTTACAGGTAATATGGATTATTTCACAAATTCATACCAAAGCTTTTTGTGTTTCAAGGGGGGGGGGTATCTTTTTATAATTTGAATTTTACATTTTCAACCTACGTAGAGATTTAAGGATCATTTGTCCATTTCCGTGCATGTTTCAAATTTTGACGATGCTTTAAAGCGTGATTTCAATGGATAAAATTTTCTACCCCCCCCCCTTATTAAATGAGTTGTAAAATGGGGGAATTAATTTTTTGACGCTGGTTTAAAAATAATAAATCAATTACTAATGAAATCTTTTTTGCATTCAAAAAAGTTTAGTGGCCAAAATGCCATTTATTACGAATTAGAAGGAAATAAAATGTAGGCTGAAATCGAGAGTTAACTTGCGTAGTTCTTTTGGGACTGTGATTAGAAGCAAAAATGAAGCTTATCAATAATTCTTTATATCAGCATTGTTCCTTTGCTAAATTAGATACGTTTAGGCCTAATTTACATTTTCTATACAAAACAAAATGTATTACTAATAATACTGGAAATACAGTTAAACTTAATCACATCGCTTATTCCTTGTGATATTCATTCCGTTATTTCTATATAATCATTGACAGGGTAATCAGGTTTCATCTCGTCATACATATGCTCTGCAGTGTGGTAAGATGGTGGCCTCTCGTTATTTTGCTCTATTGGTTCTTCATATATTGAATCATATATTTCGTGTTCAGTATTGAATATCTTGGAGTTTTCACCTCGTTCGTTTTTATCCGAATTCGTTGATGAACTCCTCTTTCCTTGTCTTTTCCTCACACTGAAAGAATGATGCATATTTCACAAATTTAGAGGCATAAATAATAAATGGTTCATTTTTAAATCGAAAATAGATTAAACTTGAAAATCCAATGGAGATGATTTATTTTCATCCCCAGGCCTTGAAGAAGTGGATATCGTGATTTTCAACAAACTGATTAAACAGTTTTAATCTTTAGCTGACCCTTTTATTTCGTTAATAGTAGTTTTTGTAAGACCATCCTGATCCCATGTAAATTAACTTAAACAAACTGGAACCAAATGAATAAAAAATTACGATCCTTGCAAAATGAATATATTCTCTTGATCCCATGAACGTTCAATGATTTCTCTGTGTAAGATCTTAATAAAATGACCCTCTTTCCGAATTCTCTCCATCGAATTGGAGTTTATGCTAGATATGTGCACAGTTTAGGAAGTACATAAGTAGACAATATATGAACTTTGGAATTCGTATTCTATTCAGATTTTAATTTTCATGAGCAATAAACTGTTTCTGAATTTATAAATATATTGCTTATATTTTACAATTTTAAAATCATCATTCAAAGGTTTCAGTTATGTTAAGAAAATTAAACGTTGTGTATCTTTCCCTCATACGGAGATTTGAATCTAGAGACCATGTTTATTCACGCTGAGAGTTCTAACAAGTGCAAATCAAACCTACCAGCAGACCAGAACAATTACACCAGCTCCCAGGATGATAACAGAAGACACGCTGAGCGCCACATACAGTACATAGGAGGGTACCTCTAAGCCAGGCGTCTGTGATGTACTCGTCTGGGTCTGTGGTACGGCTGGAAAAGTTTAGAGTTGTTAAATATGTACATGTTGTTTATAAAGCACTGGTTTTCTGTGTTGTTCACCTTTCATCATCATTTTAATATGAATTTCAATATGACAGTCAATTTAATTTGAATTTACGATAAAAAACAAAAAACGGAAAAAAGACGGACGACCTTTATTCATTCATTTTCAAGGTTTCATCAGGATCGCAACACTTTTCAATAGCTTAATACTTCTTATTTTGATGTGTAAATGCTAAATATGATCCATTTAGTGCTTGCCCGTGCAATAGATATATCCGCCCCTCAACGCATACAAACTGCTTAAAATTTTACGGGATGACGTCACATCGTCAAGTGCATGCGATTAGAGATCTGTATATATATCTTGCTATATGATATTTAACTTACAACAAGCAGTGTGTAATAGTAAGAGTTTTTGTTTTTTAATGTTCTCCTACAGTTTAAAATAGTATATCATTTCATTTTAAGGACAGTTTAGTGTGATGTCAGAGTAAATATTTCCTGTATTAATTAGGCTCAGTTTACTTTTCGTAGCCTTATCTGTGCGTTCTCCTGGGCTATCCCCTGTAATCTTACCGTATTCATAGCTTTCTCTTATCTTACCCTGTAGCCGACCTTTAACAAACCTTCTCCTAACTATCCACTGTAACCCACCTTGATTAAAACCTTCTCCTAACTATCCCTTGTAACCAACCTAACTAAACCTTCTCCTAACTATCCCCTATAACCGACCTTTAACAAACCTTCCCCTAACTGTCCCTCTGTAACCTTACCGTATTCACAGCTTTCTCTAATCTTACACTGCAACCCATCTTAACCAAACCTTCTCCTAACTATCCACTATAACCCATCTCAACTAAAACCTTCACTTAACTATCCCCTGTAATCCACCTTAACCAAACCTATTCCTCCTAACTATCCCCTGTAACCCGACTTAACTAAAACCTTCTCCTAACTATTCCCTGTAACCCGACTTAACTAAAACCTTCTCCTAACTATCCCCTGTAACCCGACTTAACTAAAACCTTCTCTTTACTATCCCCTGTAATCCATCTTAACCTTAATAAAAACCTTCTCCTAATTATCCCCCTGTAACCTTACCTTATTCACAGTTTTCCCCTAACTATCCCTTGTAACCTACTGTTATGGGAGGCGTTTTCTGATATCTTCTGTAACTTACAGTTATCACAGCGTTCTCCGGACCATCCTTCAATACAGCCGTTTTTGCAATGTCCACGAAATCTTCCACATGGCTGTTCTTCCTGGCAGTTACCACTACACTTCTGTCGACAATTAACGCCATAAAATCCGGATTGACATTCTGTAAGACACAATGAGACAAAGGAATAGGAAAATGGGATGTTTGAACAATTTTGCTTACTCATTACATTATAAATAGAAAAAACCTAAAATTCTCATTTCCCCGGATTGTCAAGATTTTTTTTCAACATTGATATGATTATATAGCTTTTCTAACTTCGGTTGCTATTTTGAAATATCGATTTAGGGTGTACAGATATAGGAATAGAAATATACAAAGTCTGCGAAAGCATGTTTTTGAATGCCCTATTTTATGACACTTCATATTTTAACCACTTTGATTATGGAATATAGATATTTGTATTATTTATGCTTTGTAAATTTACTTAAATTCCAGAGATGATAGGTAATCATGTTTCATGGTAACAATACTCAGTAATACTACTATGTGCCTTGACTAGGAGATAAAAACACAGGGAGTTGGATAAATATCATATCCAATCACAAACCATGGGAGATCCTATATTAATCACCTGCGCCGAAGCAATTCATGTCCAACAGGTGTTAATATTTAAATTGACTGTCACGTGATAAACCACGCCATGTGATTTAACAACAAAATGTATTTTCATGTATCTGAGAGAACCCTGTAAGTAAGATGGCTATACTCTTGTATGAAGATCACAGATTAAAGTAAATACTGCGTGTGTAGAATGGATTTTAAAACTTCGGGCAGCCTTAGCATTGCTGCGTGGATTAAATCAAGTGACTGGATTCACTTTATTTATCAGTTATGCTTTAAATCTCTCTATTTAGTTTTTGTTCATTTCACATTCCCATGTAAATCTTCCTTTTTTTTTAGTATTGCCTTAATAAAGGCATGTCAATAGATGGAATGTGAAAATAATTGTTCAAAGAAATGAAAATTTTTCTCTGTGTTAGGTAAAAATATTGTTTTATATATTGATTGTGCTACTTTCAAACTAGCACTTTATTATCAAAGTAATCAAAGTAATTTATTTTGGATTGTGCAATTTTTCGGTTTTTTAAAGGGATTTAAAAGAAAATATTTAACCTCAAATGGAAAGCACTCAAGGCAATAACATTTCATTTCATCTACATTAAACTGTAAATTTAAAAAAAAAGAACTTCCGCACTTCAATAAAAAACAATAAAATTACAAATCCATGGAGTCTACAAACACAGAAAATTTTTAATCTTTCTTGTAAAATCTTTTGTTGATATCATGATAATAGTTTTGTAAGACAACAAGGCAAAAAGAAATTGTCTTTGTCCATTTCAAATTGTTTCTTTTAAAACTATCAACATATTTTTTATCGGAGAAAGATCTTTCGAATTTACATACCAAACCAAATTAATGTTCATTGACTTTACACATTATAACAGGAATCCATTACGCATAGAGAAACCTTGTTAGAATAAAAAAAACAAGAGGCCCATGGGCCACATCGCTCACCTGAGCACATTGGCTAGGCAAAAGCACAAATCAGTTCAGTATTGAAAAGATTACCACCGGGGGGGGGGGGGGCTTGAATTTTAAACTACCTGATGATGCTTCCATGTCAATATAACAAATGGCTTTCTTGTACTTGAGAAGAAGTTCAAAAAAATTTCCCATATATACCTTTGTAAAAATTTGATCCCCCATTGTGGCTCCTCCTTATCCCAGGGGTCATCATTTGAACAAATTTGAATCTACACTACCTGAGGATGCTTCCAAGATATTATCCTATATATTTCTATTTAAGACTTTGATCCTCCATTGTGGCCCCACCCTACCCCCGGGGGTCATGATTTGAACAAACTTGAATCTACACTACCTGAGGATGCTTCCATATAAATATGACTCAACATGTCTTTGCTGTTCTTGAGAAGAAGATTTTTAAAGGTTTTTCCTATATATTTCTATGTAAAACTTTGATCCTCCATTGCAGCCCCGCCTTACCCCCGGGGGTCATGATTTGAACAAACTTGAATCTAAACTACCTGAGGATGCTTCTATATTAATATGACTCATTATGGCTTTGCTGTTCTTGAGAAGAAGATTTTTTAAGGTTTTTCCTATATATTTCTATGTAAAACTTTGATCCTCCATTGTGGCCCCGCCCTACCCCCGGGGGTCATGATTTGAACAAACTTGAATCTAAACTACCTGAGGATGCTTCCATATAAATATGACTCAACATGTCTTTGCTGTTCTTGAGAAGAAGATTTTTAAAGGTTTTTCCTATATATTTCTTTGTAAAACTTTGATCCTCCATTGTGGCCCCGCCCTACCCCCGGGGGTCATGATTTGAACAAACTTGAATCTAAACTACCTGCGGATGCTTCTATATTAATATGACTCATTATGGCTTTGCTGTTTTTGAGAAGAAGATTTTTAAAGATTTTTCCTATATATTTCTATGTAAAACTTTGATCCTCCATTGTGGCCCCGCCCTACCCCCAGGGTTCATGATTTGAACAAACTTGAATCTACACTACCTGAGGATGCTTCCATATAAATATGACTCAACATGTCTTTACTGTTCTTGAGATGAAGATTTTTAAAGGTTTTTCCTATATATTTCTATGTAAAACTTTGATCCTCCATTGTGGCCCCGCCCTACCCCCGGGGGTCATGATTTGAACAAACTTGAATCTACACTACCTGAGGATGCTTCCACATGAGTTTCATCTTTCCTGGCCCTGTGGTTCTTGAGAAGAAGATTTTTAAAAGATGCTATTAATTTTTCACTAATTCTTTATTATCTCCCTTTGAAAAAGGGCGTGGCCCTTCATTTTAACAAATTTGAATTCCCTTTATCCAAGGATACTTTGTGGCAAGTTTGGTTGAAATTGGCCCAGTGGTTCTTGAGAAGAAGTCGAAAATGTTAAAAGTTTACAGACAGACAGACAGACAGACGGACAGACAGACAGACGGACGCCGGACAAAAAGTGATCAGAAAAGCTCACTTGAGCCTTCGGCTCAGGTGAGCTAAAAATTGAATAATGGAATATTTTCTGGAAAAGATAAATTACCTTTATATAAAGAAATTTAAAGAGAACTAAATTAACTGTCCCTTTAAACACAGCAATGCACATATAAATTTATGATACAAAAAAGATTTATTATTGATAATCCTATGCTACGGCAAAAATAACCAGGAATCCTACAAACCTTTATCACACAAACGCCCCTCCCATCCAGGAGTACAATCCCCTGGGCAGTACCCGGATGTCGAGTGACATATCGCATTATTGGCACAGTTTCCAGTGCATCTGAACTCACAGTGATCCCCATAATAACCCGGTTCACAATTAGAGGAATCTGCATACAATTATTATTTATATAATTTTAATTTGGAAGTGTGTAAAATAAACTCCAGGTATATATTTTCAATTAAATGAACATATCAGTTAAATTAGTTGAAAACTCTTAATATAAAGATGATAAGATCTCATTAACTTAAAAGTCAAGAAATTTTTCTTTCATTATTTAGTATTTTTCAAATCATTTTTTTTTCTACCAAAACATAACTGGAGATTTCATTGACTTTACATTATATTTTTAGCTTTGAGTACCTCCTTTTTTAACATGAAAACAAGTTGACCTAGACAATGTTGAAAACTTTAAACATTCCTTAGTTTAGCCAAATGGATAATCATGCCTCATTGACTTTTTTTATTAAATAAATACGTTAGGCCTTTATATATAGTTACCTTCATGTACATCCAGTGCGTGTTTATTGCTAACATAAGAGCTTCCATTGCTGACCACTATCACCCTGAAATCTACCTCGTCTTCAGCACTCACGTTCAGGATTTTAAGCGTGAGTACAATAGTTCCATCGGAAGTTAGCTGATTCTCTACGAATTTTGGCAACTTTACTGATATATTTCTGACGTCATCATCTGATATGTTTTGCCACACCACAGAGGTGATGTTAATGTTTGGAATTACAATGGCTTTCAACATAGCTGTGTCACCAGTTATAACGCTGGAATTCCCTGTAAGAATAACTGTAGGCAGGCCTGAAAAAGAGAAAGGGGTTAAAGTGTGACGTTGTTATTTTAATTTAGTCATAGACATGTATTCCCTATACAGGGCCAAAAAGGAGGTCTGTTAAGTTTATTTTTGTTTTATTTTAATTTAATAACGTTTAATTTATTCAAATATTCGTTGTTATTATTCTTTGAGAAATATACACACCAATAATCTATCTAATTAATAGAGTCAAAAAAAAGACACATGTTGATATATGTGGTTGATGATAATTAATAATCTGTTGTCATTATTTACTTGAATCATAAACAAAAAAGAATGTTAAACTTTAGATCAATTTCTAAATTTTAATGTAAAACATACCGTGTACATTTAAGAAAATATCCAAAATATAAACAAGTATGAAGAAAACTAGATGAGTACTCATTTTACAGTAAGAACTTTCTTTAAAATTTCCAGATTTATAATTTATTTATTACGTCAAATAGAAATTTACGCCTGAATTCTGAATGTTAAATTAAGAACACCTACATACGATAATATTTATGGCCGAACTGTGTTAACGTCAGTTTCATGGGAAATGATTTCTCAGATCCTAGGTTATCCTGTGAGAGTCAATGTTTTTATTTGTATTTTTAAGTGTTAAGTAACGAATTATTACAGTCATTTTAATACATTTCGGTTTCAAAAAAAGACAATTATTAAAAACGGTGAGATGGAAAGTATTTTAAGTGTACTTATAATAAAGGGCAGAAAAATAGGGGACAAAAAAAATTCTAGTTTAATTCAATTTAATCTGTTTGTTAATTGATTGCCTTTTACTGACAAAAATGTATCCCTTTAAAACCTTTATGAAGTATACGGGTAGGTCATGCCTGGCTGGTTTACTTTTATCTTTTGACATGTACCTAATTTTATAAACATCAATATAGGTCATGCCTGGTTGGTTCACTTTTACCTGATTTTA